ATTCTATATTGGTATTAATAAGAATTCTTTCAAGACTAGGTGGTATCAACATATCTTGTCCTTCACTAATAGTACTTACAGAAATAATACATCACTTTCTAAATATTTTTGGAGTTTAAAAGATGATAAGACTCCTAAGGTGAAATGGAAAATTTTAAAAACAAGTACATGTAGATCTTTATATGAACACTGTTTTCAGTGCATACTTGAAAAACTGGAAATTATTAAATTCAATAAAGATTCTGTATTAAATCAAAGAAATGAATTAACAGTAAATTGTAAACATAATTCACATTTTACCTTATGATTTAGTTAAACTTTACAATTTGATTATGCTTTTTTTATATTTTTAGTTGTACTGCATTGCACCATATATGGCTTTTAGTAAAATGACCAACAATACATATTTACAGGAAAAATGACCAACAACACATATTTATACTAAAATGACTAAAAATATATATTTATAGTAAAATGACCAATAATATTTATTTAAAGCAAAATGACTAACAATACATATTTAAAGCAAAATGACCAATGATACATTTTATCTATAGTTGTAGGCATATCATTGCGTTCAAAATATTTATATTTCAGCATGAAATAATCCATAGTGGTTGATACGCATTAAAAAAAATCAACCAACCAACCTTGTAACAATTAAGTCATCATGGCCTATATGCCAAGGTTTCAAAGTCATCCTTTGCCACTGATATATAATTGTTATTTTAAAAAAATAAAAACGGCTGTCTATTTCAAATGCCAATATCCACTAATAGTAATGTCTGAAGTAATGAAAATGTCAGATTAAAAATAAATGCATTAATTCTTTAGAAATTGCTTTGCTTACATTTCTCACACAAGACTGTGCAGTTATGGGTTTTCGAGGAAAACAATCTGAATGAGGAAGTGTGCTTTCATTAAAAAGGAAAAATAGAGCCTTGCCTTGCTGAACTGCCAGGCTCTTTTTAGCAATAGGGGCAAAGTACTCTGGATCAAATGATGGTTTTTCCTACAAAGGGAGATGCAGGTTTGATCCCTACTGAAGAGCACAGTTTCTTTATTAAGTTTTCTCAAATGCTCAGACTGGTAGATGCAATATACACTGTTTAAAACAAAATATAAAAATAAGGTGTTTATTTCAAATATGAATATCCATCATAATGACATTTGAAGTAATTGTAGGGACATTATTATTATAAATAAATAAAATATAAAATAATAATGATGAAAATTACAAATAAAATAAAACATTAAAACTTTGTATAAAATAAGCAAAAAATAAAAATAAAAGGTTCTCCCAGCATGCAACAAAAAGTGTTCCTGACAAAAATATGGACATCCTGCCAAAAGACATTGAATTCAATCTCTTTGTTACGAATGTTCAGACAATCCACATGTTCAACTTCCCTCTTTGTGACCTTGCATGTAATAATATAAAGTGACTTCTCCCTTTTATTACATGCAAGCATGAAACATTTGTAACAAAAAATACACACACTAGTACACATAAAGAATAAATTGTATGATATTAATGTACAAGTTAATATGCCTTACTGTTATCTCAGTATGTGTTTTAATTTCCTGTGAAGTATGTTTTTATATCCATGTGAACATGAGTCTATTTCTGCATAATGTGAGTGACCCCCACATAATAAAAATGTTGGATTAAAAATAAATCTTTTAATTCTTTAGAAATTACTTATATATATATATGAAGAAATATAGTTTTAAGGTATGATATATTTATGGGATAAAGTGCTCAATATCAGAGATAGAGTGTATGTAAATATAAAAATACATAGGAGTAACTCAAGAACCCTGGAAGCAAAGAAACTATTCACACAAAACATCTTTCACAAATAGTAAATATGAAAACAGCACAATGTATATTTGGGAAATTAAAAACAAAAAACAAATCACATCAAAAGTATCATGGAAATTAAGGAAAAGAACATCAGCCAACAACTCTGTTTTGAGGAAAAAAAAATACCTATAATTACCTTCCCAGAACAAAAATAAATGTTCAGAAATCATCTCAAAATGCAGACATGAAAAAGTTTTTACTACATTACTTAAAAATTGAAAACTGAAAAGAAAAAACCCAAAAAAACCAAGTAAAATAAATCCAAATAAATAAATAAAATAATAAACAAATTAACAAACCACTCCTGCCAAAATAGCCATTAGAATAGACTACCCACAATGCATCACTGACCCATATATATAAAAAAAACACAACATATGTGGCCTGAGGATTGTCGCCTCTGAGTGTTGACTTCAATGTCCACTTTTATATATATATATATATATATATATATATATATATATATATATATATATACCAGATGACAGCCTTTTTCATGGTAAACACAATCATCAGGCCATGTCCCATATATTTACATATGCTCTATCATTGATATTGAGCACTTTAACCCATAAATTTAACCATAAACCTATATATATATATATATATATATATATATATATATATATATAATAATATGAAGAAAATATATATAAACAATATGAAAAAAATATACAAACAAAAAAAATAATATGCGATTATGCTGTTTTAATGTTTAATATCAACGTCGGACGTTTCGGTCTAATAAACCATCTTCAGGACATATTCATAAAACATAATTAACATAGACCATATACAATTCAACATGAAAAAGACGATGGACATAAAAGCAATACCAATCCAAACAGATAACTGAAATCTTTTATAAGATCAGCGTTCCGTTTAAATATGATCATGTCGTCGTCATGTGGGCGATGTTGTGAAAACGTATTCCTAAAATTTGAGTATTTTGAATGAAAAACGAAAAGAATTTTATTTTGATCTAAAACTTATCTTTTTCATTAAAATTATATAATTTAATTAATAGATGTCAATCTAATGGATATAAAAGACGAAAAGAAAACTTTTCTTTACCAACGTGTTTTGTCCTCTGAGGAATTTTATCAAGGGGACGAAACGCTTTGGTAAAGAAACGTTTTCCTTTTGATTGTTTGTCTCTTATTCATATCTTTGGAGATTTTTTAGTACACACACACACACACACACACACACACACACACACACACACACACACACACGTTGTTTTTGTTTTTATTTTTTGTGTGTATATGCGTGTGTGTTTTTATATGACCCTGAATTCTTTTTATATACTAGCTATTTTAATTAATACATTTTAAATATTGCCGCACAAATAAAAGACAATATACTGGAATCTCTAGTCCCAATACCAGACAATACTTCTCCCTCGGGAGGGTATGGCCATTTCCCGGTGCCTAAAGCGTCTCACAAAAGTAAAGTGCTGACACAGATTGAACAGTTTTTGTTTTTTGTTGTTTTTTTTTTTTTTTTTTATCTCGTGTACGACTGGGTTCCCACTTTAAATTCGGCCTTGTACCACATTCCGTTTGCATGGGTGTACTCCACGGAAATACGTACTGCTACTTTTTTAAAGGTTTTTTTAAAAGTTTTTAAACTTATTCACGGAAGGAAACAGATTTGTATTTTTTATTTTTTACAGCGAATTTGAACTGTTTTTGAGATATAAAAGTAAAGAAAGGTTCTAAATGCCCATCTAATACTTATCTTGAGATGGTGATGAGAAAAGGGAAGTGGATTCATGCCTTTCGTAAGAAAATGAACTACAAAGTATGCAAACTATCAACTGGTCAGGCCATTACGAAATGTGAGTGTATTTTTGTTTGAAAGGCTGAAAGCAAAAATTAAAAAAAATTCAGTAAAATGTTTCAAACTAAAAAAGTAGTTGTTTAAAAATATTCTCAAAGACGTTCTTTGACTCAAAGAACATTGAATATGAAGTTTTTAAAAATATATCATTAAATTCTTAAATAAATCATTAGGTGATTTTATTACCTTCAAAATTAGGAATTTATTTTTAAAAATAGTATTTTTAAACGTAAATTCCTAACGTGGTTTATGAATGAATAAATGAATCTAATTTGCATACTACATGTCAACAACCTAATATTGGCATGAAAAAATAAAATAATTTACTAAAAATTTAATAAATAAATGTCATTAATTTTTTAGTTATTCATTATTTTATAATTTTGAATATTTTGTAGAAAATTTTACATAATGAAAATACTGATAAAGAAATAAAATAAAGAAATGATTCAACAATGAATTTAAAAATAGTTTTTTTTTTATATTTCTAAGAAAATGAAATATTGATTTCAATCCTGATGCAAATTAAATACAATAATATAGAAAGAAATTTCTCATAAATAAAAAATGGTTAAAAAGTGTATAGAAGTATAAAGTCAATAAAGGTCATTTTCTTTGAATAGGGGATATTTTAACAATGTTTTTTTTTTTAAGAAAAAAATAACATTCTAAAAAGTTAAGGGATAAAGTATCTTTCAAACAACGTTCAAGTTTTAAGCCAATGCAATTTTATTATAAAGAAAGTGCTAGAAAAAAAATTTAAAAGAAAAGTATTTGTGCGGCAAATGAAAGTTCATTTTCATTGGCTAATCTATTGAACAGCGTTTATCTTATCTCGTATATAATCGGCGCACCCGGTCCAAAGCTCTCAATTCCAGGTATGACGTTGTGATAGTAAGAGGGCAGGGACAAACTTGATTTACTTTTTTTTATCATACCCACTGGAAATATTCACACAAATAATAATCATTCACACGCACGTATTTTAAAAAAAAATATGGACAAAAAAGAGAGAATTTCATCCGAAGGAAACGCCGAAATTGACAAAATTCCTCAAGACATTGCAGGAGCTTCGAATGCAGCGGCACTTTTGCAGTTGATGAACAAAACCGGCTTTAATATCGTTCAAGAAAATGGTCAAAGGAAATTTGGTCCACCACCAAACTGGGAAGGTCCTCCACCTTGTAGGGGTTGCGAAATTTTTATTGGTAAAATCCCTAGAGATTGTTTCGAAGATGAACTTGTTCCCGTTTTCCAGACAATTGGAGGCATTTATGAATTTCGTCTTATGATGGATTTCAGTGGCAGCAATCGCGGTTACGCCTTCGTCATGTATACAAATAAAGACGATGCTCGAAAAGCAGTCAAAGACCTTAACAATTATGAGATACGCAAAGGACGTTTCTTGGGTGTTTGCGTCAGTGTCGATAACTGTAGGTTATTTGTTGGTGGCATACCCAAAAGTAAACAAAAAGAAGAGATTCTCAATGAAATGAAAAAAGTGACCGATGCTGTGGTTGATGTAATTGTCTACCCGAGTGCTCATGATAAGACGAAGAACCGAGGATTTGCCTTTGTTGAATATGAAAGCCATAGAGCCGCCGCTATGGCTAGACGCAAACTGATTCCAGGCCGCATTCAATTGTGGGCTCATCAAATTGCTGTGGATTGGGCTGAACCAGAACAAGAAGTCGACGAAGATATTATGGCAATGGTAAGAAGAAAAAAAATTAACTAAATTAAAAATGATTTTTTTAGAAACGTTTTCAATTTTATAATGTTCTTTAATCATGCCATTATGAAAATAATTTAAAAAATGAAAGAAAAAGTGATATTGGAAAACTGAAGTCACTTCGTGAAATTTTGACTTAACAGCTTTAACAATTTAATTTCGCTTTTAAAAATAATCTAAACTTTTAAATTTAAGATTTTTAAACAAAACTTTAAAATATTAATAAAAAAAAAAGAATTTTTATAAATATTTTTCTAACTTTAAAAAATCGTTGGAGAAATAAACCAAAGCTTTTCACAAAACATAAAATTCTTACTAGATATGTTTTTTAAATATATGAAATTTTCAATTTTTAACTTATTCACTCATTGTAGTTTGAATAATAATTAATTTCATTCATTTTTAAAAGTAATTTTGTTGAAATAATGAATAGAATGAGATGCGGTTTAGTGTATCTATTAAGAAAATCCATGTTTGTTTAAAAATGTTTAGAAATCATGTCCAATAATCTGTTGTAATTTAAAAGAAATTAAAATAAATTAAAACCCGTTTTCAGTTAATTTCTTATATTATATAATGTTTTACTGTCCATTTTGTCACTAAATAAAATTAGTTTTATAGAAACTTTTGTTGCTAAATCCCGAACTTTAACTTTAAAAGTTTATTTTAGATTTTATCATAAAAAACACAAGATTTGAATAAACGTAAATATTAGAATTAAACACTTATTGTTAAATGAAAAATCCAGTTTTACTTTTAATTATTGAATACGAATTCGATTGTTTTTTTTAATTGCTTTTAAAAAACCTGGTTTATTTAAGAAAAATAACAAATTTGTACAATTTTAAACTTTAAGGGCACGAGTTAAATTCTGTAGGTCAAAATATCGAATTCGAGAAAGATGATTTTTTGATTCTCCAATTTGTGAAACTGAAAGCTAATTCCCAAACAAACCAGTTGATTAAATTAATAATATTTATTTATTTAATTAAATGTACTCTTTTAAAAATAATGTTTTAAAATATTTATAAAAATGAATTGCTGAAAGGAAAATTTAACCTCAATGAGTTTAAAGTTCATAAAAAGGGTTGTTTTACAAGTTACCATTAAAAAGATAGGCGAATTAAAAACCAAGCTTTTAGTAACTTAGTTTGTTTATGTGGTTGTAAAACTTTCAAGTTTTAAAAATATTGTGATAAGCAAAAGCTGTTTGTACTTTGAAAGATCTTTTTTTTTCTTCTTTCATTTTCTAAGTGTCGAAATAGATAAAAATCATAAAAAGTCATTAAAGTTTAAATTCATAGTTGACAACGAAGGAGAACTTGTGGGGGTGTCTGTTGTGAAAAAAAAACTGAAAGAAAGTATGGGACAGACAGATTAACGGTGGAAAACTCTTGACCTCTTTTTTTTTTCTTTTTTTTTGTCATTTGAGGTCAGCTGTTTTTTCTTAATTTCTGTTTTGGGTGATAGTCTCTAATTATAATAATATCTGTTTCACTGAAATTAGTTGAAAACACTTGTTCATTTGCCACATGGTTAGTCGACTTGTTTTGTACATATGAAGTAAACAATCAATATTTTATTATTCGTACAATGACACCCAGTGCACTGTTATTCACAAAAAACAACACACCTAATTATTTTTTTTTAGTCCAGGTTAGTTTTGAAATCTATATTTTAGTTTTTTGAAGAAATCTATCGTATCTATCTCTTATGTGTACATTTCTAAGTATCTAGATATGTGTATCTATGTATACATTTCTGTGTGTACGTATGTACTAAAATGTACAAACTGTAAGTGTACTGTAGTACAATAGATATGTGTACAATACTGTTTTACACCTACGTGTACAATGTACATATCTATTTAGTTACGTGTTATATTTATCTAGATATGTGTACAAACAACTAGCTGTGTGTGTGTGCATATCTCTAGTTACTGTTACAGTATGTAGAAGTAGAAATATACATATCTATCATCTATTTTTTATTTAGCATTTCTATTTTCTTAGCGAACCATGGTTTAGTGATGTATGATAAAAATCTCATTAAAATTATAATTTGTACATTCAAATTGTATCAATATTGACATTATATGGCATGCTTTGTAGGGTTAAAAAAAAAAAAAAAGGTCAAGCAAGAAGAAGAAGAGTATTGAAATAGGTGTACTGTAGGTGTAGAATGATTATTGTGTTGCACCAATATTCCCAGTTAGAGAGGGTTTGCCAGATTTTAAAAATGTGCATTTAAATTTCTCTGCTTTTACTTGAACTCGAACACCTACCATTGCCGTTGGTTAGAAATTCATAAGTCTCTAGCCGAAGATTTTGCATTGAGCTGCAATTTGTTCTCTGATAATTTCGTTGAAAGTGCATTATTTCTTAATCATTTGTTTAAATTTTAGTATTTGACTGAGTGATAAGAAAGAATTTTTCGTTGAAAATATTAGAAAATTTTCAATTGGGATCTTTGACCTCGAAACTAAGAAAAATGCCGGTTTTCTTGTCTTATCTCAAACTTCCGCCCATCTTAATCTGTCTGTATTTCTCTTTAATTTTGACACGACTTAGGAATTGTTAAGTTTGTGTGTGTGAAAGGGAAGAGGGAGGAGACCTTGAGAAATTTTTACCCTCCAAAATTGAAGTGTTCATTTGCTTCATGTTTGACATTATCATTGGTAATGGAATGACCGATTGTTGAACGTCTTATTCTTGCGTTTATTCTTCAATGTACTTTTTTAAATTTGTGGTTAAATGCATAAAATTGAGAACTGGACCAAAAAAGCATATTTCTCTCTCTAGTAAGCAAAAAATAAAGTTTCACTATTTGTAGAAATAAAACATTAGAGAAAAAAAAAACAAACATGTAGAGCGCGCACGCGCAAATATGAACGCGCGCGCGCACGCACACACATGAACAACGGAAAAGCGATAAAAGTAAAACAATGATCAAAAATCAATTATCAATAAACAATACAATTACATACGCAATTAACGTTATTTATGCTTTTTCATTTCTAATTGATAAATATTGCCAGAGATAATCTTAATATTTTCTTGTCTAAAAAAATGCTTTAAGGTTTTTAACAATAATAGAATTTATTGAATAAATTTATGAAAATATATTGTTTCGTTACACTCTGGGCTGGAGTTTAAAACAAATAAGATACCATTTTAAAAATTAAAAAGTAATGATTAAATTAAATAAATTGAACATTTTAATTAAAAGTGGTTTTAATTAAGAGATCCAAACTCTCATTCATTCATAAATCGTGTTCCAAAGGATTCACTAAGTGACGGATTTTTGTGGGCACTTTCCAAATTTTTTAATCTTAATGGGTCTGAGGAGATTTGCTGTCACTCAGTTTTCTTCAGAGATAATCACCAAACATCCAGTTTTATTTGAACATACAAAAATGCATAAATAAATAATGATTATGATGTATTAGTATTGTATTTTAGTGTTTTTATATTTTATTTTTACTTATTTTCTGTGTAGCTTAAATAAATGTTCATCTTCTACAACTTCAGAAAGATTATTAAAGATTGTTTATTTTTGAGAAAAAAGGCCAACTGTAGTATTCATAATGATAGTAGTGCCTAACCTAACGTTTTAATTATTTTTATTTCTAAATAGTCGTCATATACAAAAAGATTTTAATTTTTTAATCACCGTCCTTTGTAACAAACAGTTTTCTTTGAGAAATATCTATTTAAAAAAATGTTTGGGTAAGAGTACAGGTGAAGAGTGGTATTCGTATCAGTACTTATGGTTGGTCAGTCAAATTGTACGTGTGTTATCTCTTGTTTGTGATTTATTTGTCTTAGAAGTTGTACTGAATAATGGGGAATTCGTTAGTGACTTGTTAGGCGTTTAAGTTGTTTATTTTCTCTTTTAGTTTATTCTTTGTATTTTGCTACTAACACAAAAGATAAAATAATCATTTTATTTACACGTGACTGCAAGTATTAAAGTTCAATTTTCTTCATAATATTCTTCAACTAATTAAGCACCCCACAAAATGAAGCAATAAACATTTCATCAATAAAAAAAAATCTATCCAAAATGTTTCTAAAAATAATTGTAAAAAGTTCTTGGTGTGGTATTGTTAGATTAGTGGCTAAGTACTAAGTCCATATCAAAGTGATTTAGTTTTTTTTTAAGTTTTGTTAGATGTTTTAAATTGTTAGACTAAGAAGAATTTGTTTCTATTGGTATTGAAAAAAAAATGTCTTAATTGATGTGACCACTAAAAGTAAAATTTCTTTCCATAGCTTAAGAAGTTCTTGTACCTTTTTTAGTTATGAGAAAGAAAATTCTCATTTTTAACTTGTTCAATTGAATTTGAACTAAGTACTTGTTTCTACTTCGTTTGGCAGCTGATGTAAGAGTTCAAAAGTCATGTGAAGAAATTCAAAATTAACTATGTAGTACTGTAATCATTTAGAAATTGATAACATATGAATTATTTGTGTTGTTTCATTGAAAGTTAAAACATGAGAAATTATTCAAATCAATATTAAAAATCTATTTACAATTATTTTTTTTAACTTATTAACTGATTTTGGTATGTTAAAATCTTTTTCATTATGAATTAGGCAAAAAGAAATGAAATTTATGGATATGGAAGAATTTAAAAAATAAATTTACTTATTTAGAAAGCATCTTCATGTGTATTTATGCCTTTTATTAAATTACACTGTATTTGAAAAGATGTTTTTTTAATGAAATCTTAAAATAATTGGAAATTTACCGATCAAAAATAGGTAATTAACTTCGTCAGTTTGATGTTTGTGTTTTTACTTTCATTTTGCAGCAATGCATAAAACCATTATTATCACATTTCTACCTGATGGACTATTTTTGATATTTTTAACATAAGCTCTTCACACATAATTATAAAATAGTAACTGTATATAAATACTGTAATTATTCATGTATAATAATAATAATAATAATAATAATATGTACTCCACTTTGAAAGGCCACAAAATTCTGGAAAAATCACCCTTTGTGCATAATGTGCATTGACCTTTTAGAATTTGTGGCATAGAGATTTAACCTAAATTTGACATTTGTTCAAATTCTATTCAATTTGTGTTGACTAAAAATAAAAATTGATATAGTTTAAATTATTTTTTGAAGTACAAAATATACACAGTATTTCGAGCAAATACATGAACCAAAATACAACAAGCTTGTGGCAAAAATAAGCTGAAAGCAGAAGAAAGAAAAAGGCATTCAAAAACTATTGTATCATGAATGTAATCCACTAAAGATGGCAGTGAAGATGACATCCTTCTTGAGGAAGGACATGATAACTGTTGATGAGGGTGACATCAAAGATAACAAAAACATTTACTATGCTGACAACAGATGAATCTGACATGATGTCTATTTTTGATAAGGACAACAGTGAAACAGATTTAAATCAGTTGAATATCTATGAGAATAATTTTCTTTAGAAAATCAATGCAGTGTTTGGTTAGTGGTTAAAACTTTTTATTACTTGTTAATTAGATTGAAACAAATTTTACTTTTGATCATAACAACATAATTTGGCAGGAAAATGTTAATATTTTTGTTCCCTAGTATAATTCACAGATTATATTGAATCCATTACTAGGTCAGATGCTAAGAAAGTTGGTTCACTGTGTCATGCGAGATAATTTTTCTCTTCAGAATCTATTTTACAAATCTATAAATCTACCATTCACCCATGCTTAGAATATTGCTGTCACATATGGCCCCGTGCTCCTGCTATTTATCTAGAGCTCCTTGATAAAATCCATAAAGAATCAGCAATATTGTTGATCCTGATCTTTCATCTTGGCTTCAGTCACTTTCCCACCACTGTAAGGTTACCTCCCTATGCCTTTTCTATAAATACTTTCATGGTAATTGTTCGGGTGAGCTCTTTGCTATGGTACCTAGACTTTTTGAATTTAAGCGCAGTATTAGACTGGTGTCGAGATCTCATCAATTTACAGTTGAGTTGGCTAGATGTAACAGTAAATTCTATACCAAGAGTTTCTTACTTGTGGAACTCCCTTCTGGCTTTATGCTTTCCAACCTACTTTTATCTTCAAAAACTTAATGCAACATCAATTGTTATCCACTGTCCTCCCGATTACTCTTATTTTGTTCTTGTTCCTAATTCTTCAACACCCAGTAGCCCCTTGTATCTGGGTGGCTTTACTGCCTTGCTTGGGGTGAACTTGATTAAAAAAAAAAAATGTCAAGTTTAAAAAACACAAAAAATGTATGTATTATACAAGTTCTCACAAGAAGAAACAAAATTATAGCCATTTGCAAATTCCAGTGGCTATTTCTTTGTCATGACATCCTTCTTTGAGATGGACAGCAGAGATGTTGATATATACTGTGTCTCTTCAGGGTGTGGGTGATCATGGCTCGCTACAGCATCCTATCATTTATAGAACTATTTTTTTGTCTCCTTACTATATCACACACTCCCTGTTCTGATATCCATTTACATAGTTATTTATGTTACTAACTGCTTCTCTTTTTTCCTCTTGCCTTCAATACAACCTGTGAGTGCCAAGTTCTTCAAATCTTTTCTCATTATGTGGGCAATGATGATGATGCACGTTAGCTATCTTTGACAAACGACAGCAGTGAAACAGACTAAAATCTGTTTAATATTTATGAGAATAATTTTTCATTTAAATAATGAAATGTTTTTTGTTATGTTACTTTTGGACATAGGTGTAACTTTTGATCAAACTGTCCCAAATATGGCAATGCATGTGGCCAGAAAAAATGTTAATATTTAGTTCTCCTTTATAATATGTACCCCTAACTTTCAGGCTTAAAATCTGGAATGGGGCGGTGGGGGTGCATATTATACACAAATAAATATGGTGCTATAAATAATTTTGACCTAAGGATGATTGAAATCATTAAACTGGTGATATTAGCTTAACAATGAAAGCTGTCTAAAATTGATGTTCTAAGCCAAAAAACTATTGTCATCATGGTTATTGGGTTAAATATATTAAAAAGAAAACTGATACATGTGTGAGAGTGCATGTGCATACAAGGGGTGCTGAAAAGTTCTTGTCTTAACTCTCTTCCCAAAATTGGTTGGGCTGAGAACTTTTCGACACTGATTATATACATGTGAATATTACAGGAAATATGTAAAATTATTCATATCATCCTTCATAATAAATTTAATTGTAAATATATTTTCATATTAATTTTTCTTACAATAAAATAATATTTTAATATATAAAAAAGTAATGACCCCCTCTCTTCCAGTTGTTTTGATTTTGACCTTAACCTAAATATGACGAAACCTAGATTCATTCATTTATTCTAAAAGACACCCATTGTTAAAAAGAAAATATTTAATCGGCATGTTTATATGGAGGTGACTAATTTGGCAATTGTAGATTTAAAAGAATAAAATAGGTTATTAATAAATTTACTATTTGTGTTAATTTTGCCTATATGTAAAAAAGATATTTTCCTCATTGTTGTAACTTTGGAGTTATATTATTTTATGAAATAATAAATTTAATTTTAAAAGCAAATATATCTCTAGAATATTCCGAAGTAGCTATTTGAAAGAATCTATGCATAAAGAAGAAGTTTAATTATTTTTTATGGAAATTATCATTGAATATTTTGGCTTTTAAAAATATCCATCAAAGTCTGCTTTTTATCTGGCTAAAATATTTACATCATTGAAATATATTTGGTAGTTAAATGACAAAATATAAAAAAAAAAATTTCACAGTTAACTTTCACTGCATTTTCTTGATGTATGAAAGTGTTTGTATTTTGTATCCACCACTTTACACACACACACACACACACACACACACGTATATATGATCCCATCATTGAAATCAGTATTTAGTCTGAAGAAGTCTTTTTGATTGATTTGTTTTTTGCAGGTTATTTAAAATCAGTAAATATTTTTAGATTCTATCAGTTTTAGGGAAATAATAATGATTTATTGATACAAGCCTCACTAATTAACCCATAGCTAGAGGGGGAAGAGGTGGATTCATACCTTTCTTAAGGGTATTTGTGCATAATTGAATATAATGAACCTGACTGGAATTGAAAGTCAGTGAGACTAGTTCCTATTCTAAGCCGTTATCCATTACACCACCTGCACATTCAAGCTTGCACCACCTGGCATTCCAAAGTGGTCACCCATTTAGGTACTGATCAGGCTTGATGTTGCTTAATGTCAGTGATCCTACTAGAGCCGGTGTTTCAATATGATACAGCCAAGGATAATACATGTTTCATAGAACTTTTGCATTTTGTAATTTCAATTATCCTGCAGTTTGATATATACAGTTTATCATATTCTCCCAGATTGAAATATACTTTCAACATTAGTCTGATATGGTTTAATTGAATTTAAATTCCTCAGTTGTTTTCAAATGCTACTTTGAAAATTTAAATATAATAAAGCATTGTTTTATTTAGAAAGTTTTTTCTAGATGTAAAGTAGATGTAAAGATTTCTTTCTTAGGTTTGATATTTCTGTGGATTTATTTCTAATAATTGGTGACAAAATCTTAAAAAAAATAGGCAAATATAATAGTTTGCATTTAAAATGCTTTTTTTTTTTTAAAATATTATAATTGATTCAGTAATATGTTCTTTTCAGTAATCAATTATTTGAAAGTCAAATGAAATTCTGTTATTATTTATTTATTTATTTTTTTTTTTTTTCACTTTGAAAAAAATCTTTGCTTATTTGTGGGTCACTTTTGTGCCTGAAATGGAATAATTTTATTTTATTTATTTTTTTTTTTCTTTTAGGTAAAAATATTATATGTTCGAAATTTGATGATGGGAACCACTGAAGAAACACTGAAACGAGTTTTTACAGAAGCTACCAAAAAGGAAAATGTTGTAGAACGTGTGAAAATAATTCGGGATTTTGCATTTGTTCATTTTACTACTCGTGAGGATGCTGTTGTAGCAAAGAATAAGCTAGATGGTATGTATAATAAGAATTTTAATAAGAACATTAAAAAAAAAAAATTTTTTTTTTAATTTTTTCACCACAAGCAAAGTGATAATACCACTAGAACACTGGGTGTTAAAGGGAGTGAAAATGGAAGATAATGAGAAAACTGAGAATAGGGAAGTTTGAGGAAAGGTGCAAAAAGGAACAGCGTTCAAGAAGATAAAATTTTTGAAGATTGTCATCAGGGAAGCAAGAAATTGGAAAGGTGTTCCATGGGCAGGAAGTGTGAGAAAAGAAACTGTTAGAATAGTAGTGGTGGTTGCAGCTAGCAAGTTCAACAGCAAAACGGTGAAATCTAGTTGCTAATCTAGTAGCATGCTTAAATTCATGTAGACTGGGCACCAGGTTAAAAACTCATCAGAGCAGTTGCCATGAAAATATCTGTAGAAAAGACAGAGAAGTCATGTCACATCAGTTAGAAAGTAACTGAAGTTGAGATGCATAATCAGGATTGATTACATTACAGACCTTTCTTTGGATTTTGTCAAGAATCTTGAGATGTGCAGCAGGAGCATTAGACCAGATACGGCAAGCATACTCGATGCATAGACAAATGGTTGATTAATAAATGTGCAGGGGAAACATTTTCTGGCACAACACAGAACAAACTTTCCTTGCAGTAGATGTAGCAATTGATTCAATATAGTCGCTCCACTTTATGTCAGTGTGAAACGTGATGCTAAGTAGACATAGAGTCTTGCTCTCCTGAGTTTAACATCAGCCATGCTGATGGCAGGTAGAAAAAGATTAACATTTGAAAAAAAAAAAAGAAGAACTTGGAAAAATGTTAAAATGTTATTAATGCACACCCTTATTAAATCCTTTACCTTTTTGCAGTTGTTACAGGAGAGGAGCTTGTCAAAGAGTTTGTCTCCTTTTATCTTATTTTATTTTGTAATATTAAGTCATGCAGACTTTATTTTACTATAAACTTTGGCATGCTGTTAATTTATTGCTTTTCAGCTTGCTTGCATATTGACGTAGCTTGTCAACTTATAATTTTTCACTGAATAACAATGAAATTCTTCACTTCAGGTTTAGAAACAAACTGCTGATTAACAACTTTATTGGAAGTGTAAACACCAATTAATTATGAATTCTAATCTTATAAACATTGTCTTATAAAGACAGATCAGAGTAAATATTGTGATAAAAGATCAGAGTAAAAAGTACATTGAAAATTATATTAAAAATTGTGTCTACAACAAATAATGAGGAAACAGGGCTTGGAGAATTTGACACTCACAGGACATATTGAAGGCAAAAATGACAGATGGAAACATAAAGTAACTTACCTGACAAGCTTGTGTAAATGAGTGACAGAACAAGAACTAGGAAGGACAAAGGATAGGAAATTGTGGAGAGCCATAATTACCCACACCCTGAAGAGACATGGTGTATAAAAAGAAGACAGCAAATGCGATAGTTGATACACATCAAAGTATGTCATTTGACTGAACCATTATTTCATCTACAGACATAACTATTCTAACCGTTTCTTTTCTCACTTGTGAAACTTTCATCCAGCTTCTTGCTTTCCAGTCAACTTTGATCTTTAAAAATTTAAATGCAATGTCAATCATCATCTTCTGTTTCCTTAATTCCTGTTCTTTTATCAATCTCCCTGCTTAATAATGTTTTTCTTTTCTTTTTCTCATATTTTTCACACTCAGTAACCCCCCCTTCTATCTTAGTGGCTTTATTGCCTTTCTTGAAGTTAATTGATTATAAAAGAAAGAAAACTACTTTCTTTTCCAGAGATATAACTTAGCTGATTGATATCTGTGACCAAATTGGTAAAGCATTATTCATGTCAGGTGGGCCCCCAAAGATACAAAATATGAAGTTTTAATATTGTTCATGTTGCTTATTTAACAGTCTTACAATGTAAACTTACCTAAGAATAAAAATTAATCAACTAATCAATTAATTAATATGATGAGAGATAAGTTAAAGCAAACTTAATAAAAATGTATAATCTAAGAAATTCAGACAACAATGTTAACATTCTGTGTTTTGTTTTAAATTAAAGAGGCTCTTTGGAGAAACTTTATTACAATTTTATATTTGTCTTTCATTCTGTCATTGATAAATATTTCTTAAATCTCATTGATAGAACTGATTCATTTCATATTATCTCTTTTGAACTCTAGGTACTATTTTAGAAAACTCTAAAATAGAAGTGGTTTTTGCAAAACCAGTGGAGAAAAGTGAGAGAATGATGCGTAAAAATTTCTCACAGGTAATTTGGTTTTAATTTTGTTTTAGTATGAGAGGTATTAAAATCTAGTCAATGCTTTCAAGTCATCTAAAAAGAAATATCCATATCAAAATTGCAATTAAGTTAATAATATTTATCATTGAATTAAAATTTAAATTTTGTCTGTCAATCTGTCCAGTATGGTTGTTTCAAAAAAATTTGTGTGTAATATTTTTTGAGGGTATCATCTTGGAATTACTAAATATATGTAGAATTTATTTGAAATTTATGTTTATGAGACATTTTATCATTTAAATAGTGTATTATATTGATTAATTACTGATTTTATGCTCTATATTTTATTGAATCATTATACTAAATTAATATGTTTGTAGAATCTTTTAACATTTAGATAAAATTATGTACTCTTTGAATCTTTTGATAATTCATCTGTGATTATCTAATGAAGAGTTTAATGGTTATAGCTTTGCATACCTGAAGATGATGAAGATGACAAAAGCCAACCTGATTCAGTTTCCGGGACCGATAGTGATTATGTGCTTTTATTTTACTGAATCTTATTTGTCTTGTTATGTTTAGTTTTTAAGGGGTGTTAGTAAATTTTTGCATATTGTCTTTTATATCTTTTATTGGTTAATTATTTCTCAAATTAACAGATGATTAGAGAGAATAAGTTTATTTCTCAATTGTTGAAAATCTTTCAGTTGCCAAACTTAATATAAATAACTCTTAAATTTCTAATTCTGTTGTTCAATATTGGTTTACTCTTCAGTGTAAAGTTCAATCATATTTCTCATTGATCTACAAAAATTGAGAAATAATTCTGTAGAGACAAGAAACAAATATAAATCATATTTCCAATCAATAAAAGATATTAATATTTTCTTGGCAAATATTTTGAGATTTTTTTTTAAATTAATAAAAATCACATAGCAATGGTTTACTAACACCTTTTTGCTGATTGTCCTTTTTGCTTTTCTTTTTACTTCTTATTAGCACAGCAAATTTGAATGAATGAGTTTTTTGAATTACATAAAATAGGGTCCCTAATTTTCAGAAGAGAGATCCTGTCTACTAACTCAGTAATTTTTTTCACATGCTTTCATTTTATGATTTTTATCAATCAATTTTGCTGATTTACACTTGCATTGTAGAAAGTCCCCTATTCTGTATTTGATATTTAAGGAATAAACTTAAATAAAACAAAAAATGAGAGCTGCCCTTCCAATACCTCTCCCTTGGGAGAAGCTACAGTCTATCCCTGGCACCTAAGGTGTTTGCAAGGAGGCTTGAGCAATTTTTAACCCTTGCTCTATTTATGCATCGCCCCTCCCCCTCACCCCGTAAACTTAATCATGTGTAATATTAAATATGAAGTAGGGCTGTAAATGAATACAATGAAACAAATAACTTGAAATAATAATATAGAAACACTTGCATATCTCATCAATTTTGATTTATTTGTCGAAAAATAAAGCAAAGTGAAGATAAAATTCTCTATTTCAAAAAACAGAAGCTAAGCTGACAGTTTTAAGTAATAAAACATTTCTGTGGATTCATTTAATTATATTATTCTGAACATGTTGTGGTAGGATCCACCTAATTTGCATAGTGGAGTACCGACCATATAAATATGGTTGGTACCGGGAAGACGCGGAAGGAATCAAGAGATTCAATCCACAGACTCTGCCCGACTCATTGACTAAAGTCAACACATTCTCCAGGAACGGTCTTCCCAAGAATATACAAAAAGACTATATGTAAATATTGTGTACACTTTCTTGTTTCAATACATTTTGTTCTAAGTACATTTTGTGTTGTATTATTATTCCATGCATTAGTCAAGTTTCAACAATGGCGACGAGGTAGAAAGAACTTTTTAAAAAAAAAAAAAGAATTGATAATTGATAGCCTTCAACAATTGGGACAAATCTTTGAAGAACCCAGGCTGAAGGAAAAAATTATTAATTAAAAGTCCAACATCTAATAGAATGGCAAAGGATTCTGAAGTTTGGATATTTAAAACTCGTTAAAGGACGACTAAGCATAAAGGAACGTTCACTCAGAAAAATCTGAAAAGTGGCGTAAACGAATAACGGTGAATTAAAAAAAAAAACAAAAAAAACTGGCCGACTACAAAAACATGCATGGAATTAAAAGGAGCACAAATACACCGTAAGGACTTTGAAAGGTAACGAACTTTAAAAAAAAAAAATTTCTATTTTTTTTTTTTTTTTTGGTTGCTCAACAATATTTTATAAAGCAAGACATAGAATTAAAAAGTCGTAAGTTGTTTCGATTTTTTTTTGGTCAGCTTATATTATATTTGTGGATACACAATTTAAAAGTATATTCTTTGTTGCATGAACACTATCAGCTAAAGATGGATGAATTATCCAAAGTCATATCTGAATTATTTAAAGCCCAGCAGTTGAGTCAGCAACGTCAAAGGGAACAGTTTGCCTTATTAATAAGGGAACAAGAGGAAAGACAGCAAAAATATCAAGAAAAACAAGAGGAAAGACTGGAAAAACAGGAAGAAATGCAGATCAAGGTTTTAGAAATTCAAAAGTTAACACTGGAGAAATTAAACAACAATCAGGCAAATGAAGGAAACTCTTCATATTCTAATAACATCATATTTAATTTGCTGGAAACTTTTAACTATGTGCCAGACGAAGGAAAAACGTTTGAAGCGTACTTTAAACAATATGAAGATATTTTCTACACAGACTGTGAAAACTGGTCGAATTCAAGAAAAGTCAGTCTATTACTAAGAAAGCTAGGTACAGCGGAACATAGCAAATTTGTAGATTTTATTCTACCGAGAAGAACAAATGAATTGGAATTCTCGGAAACAGTGAAATTGCTAAAGGAGTTGTTTGGAGCAAATATGTCGCTTTGGCATAAGCGATGGTTATGCATGAATGTCGCTAAATCCGACGATCAGGATTACTTAACATATGCATCTATAGTGAATAGACATTGTGACAATTTCAGATTGGCAGAGATTACGGTTGTAGAATTCAAGTGTTTAATTTTTGCTCAAGGACTGGTATCCAGTAAGAGTGCCGAAATAAGACATAGAGTTTTGTCTAAACTCGAATCTGAACAAAACCTTACCCTGCAAAAGTTAGCAGAGGAGTGTCAGCGGGCCGTAAGTTTAAAGAAAGAGTCTCAAAAAATCGAAGAAGCTGGCATTGCTTGTATTAAAAAAAAAAAAAACAGTCAAATTACCCATTGGAGTAAAAAAAAATTCAAATATTTTAAAAAATAGACAAGAAAAAATTAAATGAAAAGAATGAGGAGAAAAAAAAGGTTCCACCATATAATTGTAGACGGTTACAACGAAAGACACTGGGAGGTAAATTGCCCATATAGAAATAAAAAATGTTTTGTGTGCCACAAGAATGGTCACAAAGGGTTGTGTTGTAAAACGAAAAAAGTCAATAGCCGAATTAGACAAACAAATTCAAATATCAAATCAGATAGAGATTTGAGGAAGTATGTGACGACTGAAATATTTAAAAAGAATATCAAATTTCAACTCGATTCGGGTTCAGATTTAACAATAATGAATGATAAAACATGGAAAATTTTAAAAAGGCCTACAATAATGAAGTCAACGAAACGCGCTCGAACAGTAACTGGAAAGGAAATTAAATTCGAAGGCGAGGTTGTACTTCCCATGAAATTGAATGGGATAGTTAAAAAAATAAAAGTTTTCATTCTGAAAAATGGAGCAAACTTGATGAGTACAGATTTTATTGAAACATTCGAATTGTGGGATAAACCGTTAAACTCCTTCTGCAAAAAAGTAGAAAGTAATATGCAAACAAGACAGGACATTAAAGAGGAATTAAAGAAAAAGTTTCCAGAAACCTTTACACCTGGTCTTGGAAGATGTAACAAGTTTGAAGCCAAATTTGAATTAAAGGAAAATACTATGCCAATTTTTAAAAAGAAACGTAACGTGCCTTTCGCAAGTGTAGAGAAAATTAACGAAGAACTTGATAGGTTGAAAAAAATGGGAATTATTTCAAAAGTAGAATCTAATTCATGGGCTGCGCCGATTGTGTGCATAAAAAGAAATCAAACCAAGTCAGAGTCTGCGTTGATTTTTTCGACAGGGTTGAACTCAGTAATTAAGGACTACCATTACCTGTTACCAAGTCCGGAGGAGATTTTAACAAGCTAAATGGTGGAGTTATATTTTCAAAAAATCGACTTATCAGATGCCTATCTCCAAATTCCCGTCGAAGAGGAATGTTCGAAGTTACTAGGGATAAACACACATAGAGGGTTATTCAAGTGCAACAGGCTTCCTTTTGGTATTAAAGTGGCACCAGCCATTTTTCAACAAGCTATGGACGTCATGTTGAATGATTTAGACTTTAGTGCACTTACTTAGACGACATCATAGTAAGGAGCGAAAACCGTCGACGAACATCGAGAGCATCTCAATCAAGTATTTAAAAAGATTCAGGACTTTGGATTTAAAGTCAAAGAGTCAAAGTGCAATTTGGTTTGGAGGAAATAAAATATTTAGGGCACATAATCAACAAAAATGGCAGATGTCCAGATCCGGAAAGGTCCATTGCGATTAGAGACATGCCGACGCCCACTAATGTGGCGATGCTACAGAGTTTTCTGGGGCTTGCAAATTATTATCAAGCGTTCATTAAAGGAATGTACAATTTAAGAGCTCCGTTGAATGAACTGCTAAAAAAAGACAGGGCATGGGAATGGACGGTAGAATGTCAGAAAGCCTTTGATGAAATAAAGAAAATGCTTACGTCTGACCTCTTTTTAACCCATTACAATCCAAAACTGGATATTGTAGTGGCAAGTGACGCTAGTTCATACGGGATAGGAGCATGTATTCAACACATAATGCCAGATGGTTCTAGAAAACCAATTGCACGTGCTTCGAGAACTTTACTCCCAGGAGAAAGAAGTTACTCCCAGATAGAAAAAGAGGCACTGAGTATCATTTATGCCATAACAAAATTTCATAGATA